CACCAGAGCAGTCCAGCTGAAACACGAATTTGGACACATCCATCCATCCTGGTGGACAGCTGCACGTCTTTATAGCAGCCACAATCTCACTTTTATTTTTAAAATCACGGAAAAGCACTTCTGCAGCATCAAACACTTCTTTTACAAATTCGTCATCTCTGAAAGATGTTTTCCACAGTGTTTTTTTGTGTTGAGGCAGGTACGGGGCTGCATTAGCAGCCTTACTTTAGCTTAGGAGGGGGAATCCATCTCATAGTGTTTGTACATTGCTTTGAAAGAAATGTAGTTCCACGTTATCCTTTTTGGACAAGCCAAGGCAGCGCGCAAATTACATATGAGTCCTCTTACCACTCCAGATGAAAATAATAAGTTTTTATTTGCTTGTTAGCTGTCTTTCGTTCATTTTTTTTCCGCCTCGCTGCGTTGTCGTGAACACGTGACCCTAAAGTCTTGCGAGACCGTGTTCGGAGTGCTGTTTCACCGCACCCAAAACTCGCGAGACAACGTCTGTGAGCACAGCTGACGAGCCGGCTCGTCAGCTGTGCTGGGGAGGGCGGAGGGAGTGTGTTCAAGGCTGGAATGTAATCTCCTCCCGCCTCCCACCTCCACGGCTTCTGCCGGAGAGCTCAGCGAGCGGACATGAGTCCCGGGCCGGAGCGCAACTGTTGCTCTCAGCTGTTAGAGGAAGGTTGTGCTCCGTGAGCTACCGGGAACCAGCCGACGAGCTGCCGGTCGATCGCGATCGACTGGTTGGGCACCCCTGGTATAAACTGTTCATCCTTGAGCAGTGATATATTTAATCTCCAGTTTACACTTTTTGGTATTAGTTATGGACTAATTATCTATCTGTTTCACCTTTGACGCTGTCCAGTACTCGTATATCTTATGATCAATGTCAAATCTGTTTGCCCAGATGTCAGGACTCCGCAACGGACTGACCTCTCTTGTTTGATAAGACACTCTTTGCGCTACGAGCCCTGTTATTGGCTGGGCGGTTACAGTTGGCGATCTGTGATTGGTTATAAGCACATCATATGATGCCATCATGGTGTATATTACTGGCTGTGTCCGCTGACGTGTCAGCGACAAGCCGACAGAGCTTCCTGATTGAGTCCTGTTTGCTTGTCGCTCAGAATTAAATCATTATTTACGACCATACACGCAGACTTTCTGTGCATTATTCCAACTTGTTTCTGCATTCTTGGTAAATCATGCGACGGCAGTATTTCTTTCCTATTAACTAGAGTTAAAGAGACTGGTGCGTGATCACTGACAGCAATAGGGTGTATCTCACTGTCCGAAATGTTGGTTAGTAATGAACTGCTGACTAAAAAATAATCCAGACGAGAATAAGAATAATGGACATGTGAGAAGAAGGTATATTCCTTGCTGTTAGGGTRGAGAGAACGCCAAACATCACAAAGTCCAAAATCACCAGCATCAACTAAAAACACTTTTTTATTGGTCGGATGAAATATGGTAATTTTTTGAGATAGAGATTTTTGGTTTTTCTTTACTTTTTTGCCAAAATCATCAATATTAAAACAATAAAAGGCTTGAACTACTTCAGTTGGTGWGCAATGAATCTAAAATACATGAAAGTTTAATGTTTATCAGTACATTACACAAAATAATGAACTTTATCACAATATGCTAACTTTTTGAGAAGGACCTGTATAGAGTTTGTCTCTGGAAAAAGCTTTCCAAATCAAAGTTCAGTTACTTAGGAGACATGAGATGGTCAAAAGGTCACCTCAGCGGTCACGGTTGTTCATGCTACATAAAACTAAACTGTTTTTTTAACTATTATTTGTAGGGTAATTTAGATGTTTAGAATTCTGAACTAGATAATTTGTGGATATAATTAAATATACTATATTTACATATACTATATTTAATTATATC